CAGCTTAAAAGGCCTGACCCCTGTGATGACCATTTAGGGTCAGGTGTTGATGGGGGGCTTCAACATGAGCTCCCAGAAAGAGGATTTTGAGCAGACTGACCCCTTGGCTCTTGTCAAACACTACCTGGCAGCAGGTCCTTTTGGTATTCTTATATTACGCGTGGGAGACTTCAACTCTTGAGGATTTGGGGTAAAAAGTGTTTTTTTTCCTTAAGATCTACCACTCTTGAAAAAGAAGTTCCTGTCATCTTCATCCACCCTTTAAACACTGGATTATTCCGGATAAAAATTCAAGGAGCCACTGGAAAATTTAACATGGTCATCCCTCTTGTGGATGGGATGATTGTCAGCAGGCGAGCACTCGGTAAGGTCTTCATATGTGGCTCAAGGGTTAAGGTTACTTTCTCCTTTTGTCTTTGACATTTTTATGAACCAAAAAGTAGTAGAAGTAAGGAAGTGATGATAATACTTAATAGGTTCCACATGTAGAAAATGCTGTGGCTCTTATTAAAAAGGAAGCATGTTTTGTTCTATTTTGAACAGTGCTTAATCTAATAAGTATGAGTGGAGCTGTAATTCACAAACTTCCAGTATTGGACGTGAAGATAGCTGTTTGTAATCCAGGGCAGGAAACGGGTTGTCAGAGCAGATATTGATTCTGTTTTTCCTTGTCATTATGTGTTTCTTCTGACAGTTTTATCTTAGTAAATCTCTGTCCATCTCTCCGGGGAATGAGTGGAATGAAATAGTTTGAGTTTGCAGAGCATAGTTCCCCTGAATACTGTATAGTTCACCTAGCTGACTGATTATTCACATTGATTTTAAAACCCTCTGTTTTCAAGGTTTTCTGGTGAGGCAGACTGTAATTAATATTTGTAGAAGAAAGAGACTGGAGAGTGACTCCTACAGTCCCCCACATGTCCGCCGGAAACAGAAAATCACCGACATTGTCAACAAGTACCGGAACAAGCAGTTGGAGCCCGAGTTTTATACTTCACTTTTTCAGGAGGTTGGACTCAAGAACTGCACTTCTTAGACCACTGTCTGTCTAGGACTGTTGAACTACAGTTTGGGGCTATAACATCAAAGCAAAACAATTTGATAGGTGATCACTGTAAAAATAAAAACAAATCACTCCCCAGGAGCTCACTGTTTAATCACCAGAATAGAAGGGACACACTGTAAACCCATTTGTTGGAAGACTTTTGGCTTTCTAGTGAAATGGGCTCCCAGACACAATTGTATTCCTGCTGGTAATGATGATACACATTTTAGCCATAAACTTTCTTTTAAAAGTGACAATTTTAGTTAAATATAAGCCTTTTGAAGAGAAAGGCTTTGATGCATCTCAGTTAAACACATGCATTGGTAGTATCAAATTTGCAAATTAGAAGTTGAAGATAGTTTTATACCTCACTTTTTAGGAGGTTGTGTTCAAAATTAAAATCTGTCTCAAAATCGTCCAGCACATTTAAAGACTCATGTTGATAGCATGGAGGAGAAGGAAAGAAATCTCAACTTTCTGCTCGCTCACAGGTCCATTTGTCATCCAACTGTCAAACTGACAGAAAGAACGTAAATGTTTTCTGCTCAGATAAGAAGTCTGACATTAAAATATTTCATTCTTTCCACATTTCAAAATGCTTTCATTCTCATTGTTGCACAGATCTGTCTGAAGGCCTCAGTTTCTGGGCAGCCCAGGAACAGATCTGAAATGGAGGCATAGCCCCGTCCTTTAATAGGGATACAAATAGCGTTTGTGGAGTTAAAAGTTGTAAGACAGTAGTGATGCCTCCACGCTCTCCATTATTATCTAGCTTGATGACATAATAATGGGTTAAACATTTGTAATTCCTTGGTAATTTCTTGGTTAAATATTAAGAAATGTAAATTCACAACAAGGGTTGAAAATTATTTGGTTTCGTTCATTGTCTCTTATTTCAGGACCAAGCAGGAAACTGCAGTAGTTTATGAAGGATGCTATTTGGGGTTCAGGAAATAGCCTCTCAATGCTCCTAATTCAGATTTCTCGTAGAGAGCTACTGGATTTCATCATAATTGGCAAACATTAGTGGCCGCCTCCTTGGGTGGCTGCTGTTTGAAATGGCTGTTGTCATATTTTCTTTATTTTGCCAGCTGAAGGCACAACAAATCCCTGCCTGGGGTTTTGGAAATACTGCTGTTACCTCGCTGCTCCTTTTCAGCCAGGGATAAGTGTTTTGAGGTGGCCAGTCCCAGAACATCCTTACGAGGATTCCTGTTACAGTGCTAGAGTGTACACTGCTCATTTCTCCTATTCTTATGTGCTTTCTTCTTTATTAAGATTATTTTGTGTTAAGATTAAGTGAAATTTAAAGTCCAAAGAGGAGTGATCACAGTTGTATAAGGGGTGATTTCCCACTTGAATTCTGAAGTCAGTAGATTCCTTCGGTCAGGGCTACAGTGGTCTGTTTGGTTTGATGTTTTGTAGTTTAATTAGAGAGGGATAGTGTAGGACCTAGTTCCCTGTGCAGATGTTTCTGTTCCAGAAGTATGTATTTTGTCATCTGTGAGTAAGAAATGCGGGCATAGCAGCTCTTGGTTTTAAGTTTGCCGTACCCTTTTCTTCGTGTTTTTTTAAGCTCAGGTAAAGGTAACCTCTTCCTTCTATGACTCCAGTTTCCATTCAGGTATAATACTATTCAATATTTGATTTTATGTTTCATCTGGGCAATACATTGATGTTTCCAGAAGGTAGCACAGGGGAGGGGGATATATGATAAAGATTAGCAAGTTGTACCCTAAAAATGTTAAGGTGAGGTTTAACGACTTTCATGGAAATTCCAGATTGACGTTTCAAGGGAAAAATGGGTCCTTGTTCTAGTGGATATGAACGAAGAAGGGTGTAAATTGATGTGCAACTTATAACATTCCAGAGGTTAAAGATAACTGATGTAGGTCTGCTTCCTCAGTGTGATTCCTCAGATAAAATTTTTATCTTTGGTATAGTTTTACTATCAGCAAAATGTACAGTGGTGTATGTGTTGGGGGTGAGCTTCCTGATCCTTCACTTTGCTCTAATTTCTGGCAACTCTTTGTAATTCTAATGGCCTTGATAAGTGAACAGCCCTGTTGAATGCAGTTTGTGATCTGGAAGACTTTGTGGTCTTCCAGGGAAGAAGGGATGAATGCAGGACTGCAGCTCCCGAAGGCATGAAACCCAGTGTGTACGGCACAAACAGAATATGGTGTACGTATACCTTTCAGGTGCTGGTTCCTTCTGCTCAGAATAACATCTGCCTAAAAAGGAAGTGTAGTGAGGACCCTTGGACCTTTCACTAGTGTAGGTTTGAGTTCATGGTCACTAAGTTCACCCAGCTACCTTTGTTAAAAATCACGTTGAGTAGAATAATGCCAGGGGAGCATATTTAGTCTTTAATAATAATCTGTAGTAGTCCACTTGATAAATTTGCTAGCATATGTTCATAACCTTTGGCGGGAAGCCAGGACCACTTTGGTCTGTGCACTTTAGTTGCTACATGTGACAGGTGTACCAGGGGGTGGATGAGTGTGGCATTTGGTGACAAGAAAAACATTACCCAAGGGTCAGAGGCAGGTAGACTCTCATAGTCCCTTCTCACATTTGGGGAACGCAGGCTTTCCTCCTACTCTCTGGTTGGGAGCACTGAGGACAGTGAGGAGGGCTTTTGCCTTTTTTGTGTTCAGCCAGCTCTCTCTTTTGTCTGGTGCTTCCTCCTAAGACCCGCTCCTGTCCATTAGCCCTTTGACAGGAATAGTTAGGTGGTGGGTTGACCCCCTCCTGCCTTGGCCATATATACACACACACGTATGCATGCTGTCCTCCATCTCTAAGTCCTCTATTTCAGGGCAGCCCGTTCTCCTCTGGACTCATTTATAAATACAAAATACCTGCATCTTTGGCCAGTGATGTCGGTTGCCTGTAGGTCGTGTGTGAGGCCTTCCTGAATGGTTACTTTCTACATACACTGAGGAAGCATTTGTCAGGCTCTGCAGAGTGATTTTTAGACAGGCAGAGTCTTCAAGAGTATTTATGTCTATTGGAAAGTGAAACTATACCCAAAGTGGGAGTCAGCCTTGCTTAAAGACACGTTTCATGGCAGATGTGAAGATGTGCTGGAGGGAATTTGGCACTCCTCCTGGCTCTCGTTCTCCACTCAGCATCTTAAAACCCGTTCAGGTTATATCTTCCTAAAGAGAATTGATTTATATGTTTACATGAAATGGTGAGTTGAATTAGATGGTCTGTTTTAAGCATTTCCATGACAGCCTCTTTTCCTGAGATGGAGAGATTGGAGGTAATCTACTCGCTCGATGTGGAATCAAACTGTGGGTTATCAGTAGCTAAAGAAGCCATGTACTGTATAGTGTTTTTCTCAGAGTATCAACTCATGTTCTTCAGAGTTTCTTTTTTTAATGGTGAGGGAAAAGATATAATTTGGGATTCCACAGTGCCTTGCAAATAGTAGGCGCCCAATAACTATTTGTTGAAGCAAACCAAGTTTCTCAAGCCCTTGTCTCTTGCAGTGACCAAGAACATCTTTCTCCTTGAAGGGCTTGGCAGTTGTGGCTAAAACATAAGCAGTATCATTATTTGCTTGAAATCATATACACAATTTGTATGAATTTCACTATGTTGCCAAGACATGATCTTTTTCTTATTGTATTTTCTGTAAATATTTCTGGCACTGAACTGTAAAGTAAAGGCGAAATGTAAATATGAAGGCATACCTGTGCCCCCTCGCCTCCTGTGTTTTCTCTTCGTTGGTTAGGGAAGAAGGCCCAGAGGCTCGTTTGTATTTATGCCGACCCTTTGTCCAGAAGAAACCCACGGAATATTGAATGTAATACATTTAGTCAATTAAATTTTAAGGAGATTCTTATCTAATAACATCGTGTGTGCTTTTGGTTGCAGGCTGGGGGATTGACTCCTGTGTGGGTGTTCCTAATTTATCCTTTCCCAGGGCCATCAGCTCTGCTTTGGCTGCCCTTCGTAATTTAGATCTGTGGGTTTTCACTCTGGCTTTGTAGAGTTTCAGGAAATAGTCGAAATTTGATTAATTTTAAAAGTATTTGCACTTGTATGCTAGAAGGAGCTTGTATAATTAAAGTACTGCCAACAGAGTGCCACCTTACAGAGGTTTGCAGTTCTCGAGGGGCTGGCTGGCTCTCTCTGAGTTGGGAACACAAAAATGCAAGCTATGCTCTCTGCCTGCCGAAGATCTGAGCTCTGCCAGGTCTGGCCAGTCAGGAAAGGGGAGAGATGCAGAGGAGGTCATCCCCCCACCACCTGCTACCCCTATGAGTAGGGTTGGCTGTGTTCAATGGGGCCAGATTAGTACCTTACTGCCTAGATTACACACGGTGGGGTGGTTGTACCACTTGAGGAAGCAGTAAGGTGCATGCCTCTGCCGAGCACCACCTGCTCCAGCCTGACCCTAAAGCCAGAGCTGGGAGGGGCCTCCCCCGCAGTTGTGTATCCATACCTGATCTGCCTGCTCACCACAGGACCTCCAGCTGGGCCCTGGTGGCCAGAGAAGCTTCTCCCTGGGCTGACTGCACAGTGGCCCTGTTTTGGGGTCTGGCAAGAAAATATGTTCAAGCCTATCCCACCTGTGCTGCTCAGCTCTTTCTGACCTCAGCCCCTTCAGGACCCCGTGCCAAGAAATCATGCTCAGCCCCAACCCAGACCACCCCGCTCCTGTTCTTGGCCTCTGGGCCCTGAGTGCACAGTCCACCAGGGCACTATGCTCCTTGGACGTACATTCTAATACCATCTGCCCAGACCTCCTCTTCTGGGGACTCTGCTCATCTCACAGCTGGGCTCAGACTCCCTCTAAACACCCTGGCCCTCTAAACTCCAGCTGTCCCCTCTCCTCCCCTATGTTTTACTATGGCTGGCCCCTCTTGCCTTTTTCCCTGGGCTGGTGTCTGCCTATGAGGAGGTCCTTTCACCTCATGTCTCCCCTTAGGTCTACCACCCACTTCCTGCAGCTGCTCCCTGAGCTTGGAACAGGGTCTGCCTGATTTTCCCAACTTGTGCTCCGTGAGATGCTGTGGTCTCAAAGACAAGTTTCATCAGACTGGTTGCTCATTAACGTGTGGAGTCCCAAGCCTCACCCCCTGGAGGTTCTGCCTCCGTAGAGCAGGGTGAGCTTGGGAATGGGCCGGTTTCGTAAGTAGCCTCCAGCCCCCACCCACCTGCTGGCAGTGACTGAGGCAGGTCGTCCAAGTACCCTTTTGGAGAATACTGAGCTTCTGTCCCCTCCCCTCCATGAGCAGCAGCTGCTCCTCCTGTGGTCTTCCTGCACCCATCAGGCTCCCAGTCTGGCCTGAGTCTCCTTGCAGCTTAGGGGCTGTCAGGCCCTGAGAGGCCCAGCGCCTCTTCCTGCCACTGGGCCTGGCACATGGAGGTTTACTAACTACTTCATGAATGAATGAATGACAGGGGAGAGGCAGGGAGAGAAGTTTGGCAGTTGGGAGTGTTCTGCCCACTTGGGCGATAAAGGAACAAGATTAAGGTCTTAGAAGCCCCTCACTGAAAACCCTATAAAGAGAGATTCGGAAGCTTCTAGATTAAATAATAGTCATTTATTGAGGGCCTACTAGATTAGAAGGTTTTTAAAAGGCAGCCCAGTGACCCAGTTTGGCTCAGCTGACTTGTTTTGTTTAGCTAAGAATCTTTTAACAAGGTTTGATTCAACATTTTTAAATTGGGAGATTTCACATAAAAATCCAGATTTTTTTGGCTCTCTTGGAAAAGTCAGGAGATCTGGCCATACTGGACCTGCATTTCTCGTGTAGCAGTTATTGGCTGGAGCTACTGCTGCCTGCCTGCTTTAGATGTACCCAGCTCCATCCAGGTTGTTCAGCCCCCAGCACTCCCACAAAGTGTAAACGTGAGCCTGTGTAGCCTGAATTGTGGGACCTGGGACCTGACTGGTTCCTGGAGGAATCTGTGACCTCAAGTATATGAAGACCCACCTGTGGGCAATTTGTATCTCGTCATTTATTTTTCTAACTTTTAGCAGAATGATGAGGTAAGAATTATTTCCATCCTACAAGAGCATCAAGGAGTTGTCGTGTAAACCCATAACATCTTAGCAGGGATTCAAACCCAGGCCTGCCTGCCTATCTGCCTGGAAGCCAGCCTGTCTCACTGCCCTGGCTCTTGCCTGTTTGTTAAAACAGCTCTCCTTTCGCTTGAAGGACCCTGTGGCCGCCTTGTTATGTCACAGGCTCAGTCACAATTGGGCTGAGAGCAGAGTGTGGTCTGGCCCGTCAGGTCCCAGGGCAGCCCTGCTAGCCCAGCCCAGGCTGGCCCCGCTTAGCCGCACATGCAACATGAAGTACCCTCTGGTGCCGCTGGTGAACGACCTCACATTTTCTTTCCTGGTGTTCTGGCTCTGCCTGCCCGTGGGCTTGCTCTTGTTCTTGTCGATCGTCTGGCTACGCTTCCTTCTTAGCCAAGGTGAGCCACCCAGGCAGGGCCCTGATCCTGGAGCAGGGCAGGGGGTCAAATAGAGCAGGGCATCCTGAAACAACTGCGGAGAGGGATTTCCTTCAGACGTTTTCACTGCTGGCTCAGAGTTGACAGGCAGCCACTTATAAGAGAAAAGGATTGATTTGGTAGTTAGTTTCTTCACCTAGAGTCCAAAAGCAGATCCCTGAGTTTGCCTGAGAAGCAGGATGTGTGGGTGCACATCTGTGTCCCCTCAGGGCCACTGCTAGCATGTAAGTTCTCTCGTACAAGTCAGAAAGAGGTAGCCCCTCCGGACAGATGAATTAGTAAAAGGTGCCCCTTCCTGTGAATGCAGCTGGGGCGCAAGGCTCGGTGAGCAGAGCGTAGGCTGGATTTCAGCCCCTCACGCCCTTGGCCTGGTGCTTTTGTGCAGTAAAGAACTTGCACAATGGGGTACGGCAGCTTTAGGCATTTATCAGGAGCCCAGGGACCACTCATACTGTTTTCTGCCCAGGCCACAAATCAGGGAGGATCTGGGTTTCTCTGGAACACAGGATCATGGAAGTCAACTGACATTTGTCCTGAGCTCAAGATGCCACTGAGAGGAGTAGGAGGTGGGGCAGAGCTGGCCATGAGGGACCCAGGCGGCCAGTGGGCCTGGGATGCATCCTGACCATGTGGCAGGAATGACACTCCGCTCTTCAGGTGTCCTGTCTCCCTGGACACTCCCTTCACTGAGGGGCCTCTTTCTGGGGACTGCTTGACCTGCCGCCTCCTCTCCTCAGCCTCATGACCTTTGGCCAGCTGGGCAAGGAGGGCACTGAGTGTGCTAACAGCTCTGGTCAGATGGCTTTCAGATAGGGTGAGCAGTTCACCCCCTAGTCTGCCCCATGGTCTCAAGTGTGGGGGCTGGTAGTTGTGCAGTTACTGGGAGTTCCTGGCTAGAGCTTCCAGGAAATGTTGGTTTAAAGTATGTTCTTCTCATATTCCCATGGTGGGTCACAGCCCTTCCTGAGGGGCACAACTCGGGTGTCGGGCCAGTGGCTGGTGGAAGTCAGAGCGCTTGTGTGTATCGTGGCTATAAAAGCCATGTCTCCAGAGTCTGGGAGACGTGGGCCTACATGGCAGCCTCGCCCCTTCATCGTTCATAACGATAGCTTTTTGAACACTGTGTACTACACCTTGTGGTAAACACTTGATGTGCATTATATCACTTAGTCCTCAGAATAACCCTGTGAAGTAATCCTCATTGTATAGTTGGGGGGAAGTGAGGTTTGGAGAAGAGAAGCAACCTGCTTAAGATCACGCACCTGTGAAGTACTGCGTGCCGATCGTCTGATGTCAACCAGATCCTGGATCTGCCACCTGCCAGCTGTGTGCCTTTGGGGGAGTCCTCTCTCAGCCTTTGTTTTCTCATCTACAAAGTGGAGACAATAATGGTGCTGACCCTTTGGGGCTGTGGAGAGATGCACGTCAAGGCAGGGCACACAGTATGCGTACACTCGTAGTGGGTGCTTGTAGGCTGAGAAATAATCCAGTGAGTGTCGGTTTCATCAAGGTAGGAGGAAGTGTAGGAGTGGCTTTGGATGCCTTCTCCTGAAGTGGGGGACACCTTACCTCAGGTGTAAGGCTTTAATCTCCTCCAGCAATTCATTCTCCTTGGAGGCTCTGCTCTAAAGCCATCCACAGTGTGCCCTGCCAGACCCCTTCTCAGACTTTCTCCTCATCTCACATGGCATTTTGAAATAAGTCCTTTTGCTAATTTTGCAATGAAGAGAAACCGTCCTTAAAGTGAGGCGAGTGGTCCTCGCTCAGGCTTCCTGTTTTCTTGGAACTCTCAGTGTTGTAGCGTCTGTTCTGTCCCTGTGCCGGGAGTTGGCCCAAACCCAGGCTCTGGGCCCACCAGGGCTTGGGGACCCGGGGCTTGGGGCACCCCATTAAATGGAGTTCTGTTCTGCTGTGGATCTCTTTATTGGAATCGGTTTGGCCTGGAATCCACTCTGAAAAGCAGTTGCGTGGCTCTGACGCCCCCTTTCCCCCTCCCTCCTGGCCTGGCTCAGCAGGGCAGTTTGAGGGCCCAGAAGACAGAGAATTGAGCAGCGAGTGCCACGTGACCCAAGAATTCATGCTTCCCCAAGTCAAGGGGGGAGCAAAAGGGGAGGAGAAGGGAGCTGCCTAGTGCGACTGGCACTGAGGCAAAAAATGATCCTGGGCAGCTGAGCCCCGGGGAAGCTGGCCAGTGGGGATAATGCTAAGACACGTGGAGAGAGGATGAAGCCACATATGTGCTTCAAAGGGAAGATGCTCTGCCAAGGATGGTTTCCTTTTGCGATTGGAAAGGAATTTGCAGAAGGAAGAAACCTCCAAAGAGAGGGTTTAGGGCTGAAACACAGGAGTGGACACAACAGGCTGTGCCTGTTGAGCGTCCTGACCCCCCTTGTGGTGGTCCTTGGAGCGAGATGTTAAATTCGAAGCTCCCTTTGAATTCCCTGACTTCAAACAAGTGCACCCGATGGAAACTGCACGCGGAGCCAGAAGGCTGATTGAGTCCAGCACCACCCCTTCCTGGCTGTGAGCCCAGGCGTTTCACCTTGCTGAGCCTTCCCCATCTGTAAAATACGAACAATACTAGTGATCGCCTAGCGATGCCGTCAGGAAGTTAACAGGATTAAGTGAGAATAGTGCCTGTAAAACACTTAGCACATAGTATGTGTTCAAAAAGCAATCGACCTCTAGTGAAGAACAGTCACCTCAAGCCATCGCCCTGGTGTTTGGCTCATCGTAACTGCCAGTGTTGTGGAATGCCTGTTCTGCGTGTCTTACCTCAGTTAACCCTCATCGTTGAGCAGGCTCAGCCTCTTCTATCTCCTGCTCTCAGTCTGCATCTGAGGGCTCTGTTCAGCCTCCTTTACTTCTCTGCAACCAGTGAAGCAACTTGCGTATAGTAAGAAAAATAATAATTTCCCCTCCCCCCGTCCTTTGTCACCTTGCCTTTCCCAGAGAAGCCATGTTAGCAAGCTCACGTACCCATTTAATAAGGTGGATTTTCCCAAAAAGGGGGAGTCTGTTCTTTGTTTTTTTTAAAAAAACATTTGTGCATTTCTCTGCAACTTACTTGTGATATATCATAGACATCCTGCAAGCGGAAAGATGCAGATCTAATATAGTCATTTTGACAGCTTCATGACACGCCATTGGATGGATGGGCTGGGTCTCCATGCAGTGTGAGTGTGCTGCACTTCAGTCAGCCAGACGTCTTGGGCACACACATGGTCTCCAAGGTGTTTTATTGTGTGTGTGTGTGTGTACCACAAAACAGGGCCTCAGTGGAAAGCATTGTACGTATATACGCAGATATTTGGTAATGAATGAACTGATAGACGAATAGATGGTTGAGTTTGTGTCTCCTCCGTGCCAGCTCCTGGACCACACCCAATGCAGGTAGGTCATTCGCTCACCTCCAGGGTCCTTCCCTGTTTAGCAGATGGATATGGCTACTTTCCAAGTCACAGAACAACCTTCTTTCTTGGTCCCTGTTCACTATTCCAGGCCCTGAAGTCTTCCTGAGGTCTCAGGGCTGTCCATATGTTAGGATTCTGCCTTGGTTCCCTGGCCTCAGACAAGGCTGCTCCTTTTGGGTCAGGGGGACGAGACAGGATGTGACCACCCAAGAGGCCCTTGTCTCATACCTTCACAGATACAGAGGAAAATGACTCAGATTTATGCTTTGATTGGGAGCCCTGGAGCAAAGCCCCAGCTGAATTTTGCTGGGAGGAGACACTCCATAGCCAAGAGGAGGAGAGGCCCTGCTGGTGAGTCTGTTCTGCCAGGTGAGGCCCTTCTAGGGGGTAGGAGGCTGGAAGGGGGAGCCTCAGGGCCTGCCCAAAGCCTAGGGTGGCTGCCATGTTGGAGAGCTGGCCGCCTCCACCATACTGGAGGTCTGCTCCCTCAGCCATGCTGGAGAGCTGGCTATCTCTGCCATGTTGGAGAACCTTCTGTCTCATTGTGTTGGAGACCTGTTTTTGCCATATAAGAGAACAGCCACCTCTCCCATGAAGGGTTTTTTTTTTTTTTTTAACAAAGGTCCCCTACCCATTATCTCTAGGACTTCACTTCCTACCACACTCCTTGGGGTCTTTGGGCTGGCTGTTCCCTCTGCCTGGAACCCTTCTTCCCTAGACGTCACTTGGTGCACTTCCTCGCCTCTGAGGTTTTGCTCAGATGGCACTTTTTCAGTAGTGCACCTTGATCACCCTCGTTAATATTGCAATCTCCCCCCTGCTCTTGGACCCTTCTTATTCTGCTCTACGTTTTCCGTTACGGTAGATGGACTTACCGCCTTCTGACATGCTCGATAATTGATGTATCCAGAGCACCCACAGCAATGCCTGACACACAAGGGGGGCTCAACAGATATTTGTAGGAATGACATAATAATAGTAATAATAATAGTAATGGCTGATATTCACTGGGTGCTTCATAGGTACCAGGGCCTGTGCTAAACATTTCTCTTTCATGAGCTTATTTATGAAGTCCTTCGAAGAGGATATTATTCTCCTTTTTGCAAATGAAAACTCTGAGTGGCAGTACAGTGAAATAATTTGCCCAAAGAACAGAGCTCTAGAATCCATTAAAGAGCCTGGAGACCTCATCCATTGCAATCGAATTAAATGCCAGTTCTATGCCGTTGACCCCAAAATGTGTGTATCTTGCTCTAATCCTCCTTCTGAGCTCTGTGATCTGTCTGCTTGACACCTTTTTTTCCTGCTTTTCTCCCCAAGTCCCCCCAATACATAGTTGTATGTTTTAGTTGTGGGTCCCTCTAGCTGTGGCATGTGGGACGCCGCCTCAGCATGGCCTGATGAGTGGTGCCATGTCTGTGCCCAGGATCCGAACCAGTGAAACCCTGGGCTGCCGAAGCAGAGCGTGGGAACATAACCACTCGGCCATGGGACTGGCCCCTTGACACCTTTTTATGGCTAGAATGGGATTCTTGATTCCTTTTTCTACCTAACAAAGCAAAACACAACACCTGATCTTCTGCCAGCTTTTCTCCATCTCCATGAACAGCACTACCATTTGTTGGTCTAGTTGCTCAAGCCACAAATCCGGGAGTCAGCCTTCATTCCTTTCTTTCCTCCCAGTCCACATCCAGTCCATCAGCAAGTCCTGGACTCCATCTCTCATACATCCACTGGTCTCTGTCCCCACAGCCACCATGGCCTGCCCTACTCCAAAGTCTGCTCATGCAATGTGTCACTAACCCACCACTCTGCCCCGTTTGAGTCACAGCTTGGAGCTCCTGCGTGTCTGAGTGGAGAAAGGAGGTGGGAGTGAGAAGCAGGGCCCCTCGCTTCACTTCAATTACACCGATTCTTAAACTTTCCCAGTCGGGGGCCAACCCGGTGGCACAGCGCCTAAGTTCGCACATTCTGCTTCTTGGCAGCCCGGGGTTTGCTGGTTCGGATCCTGGGTGCAGACATGGCACCGCTTGGCAAAAGCCATGCTGTGGTAGGTGTCCCACATATAAAGTAGAGGAAGATGGGCACGGATGTTAGCTCAGGGCCAGTCTTCCTCAGCAAAAAGAGGAGGATTGGCAGCAGTTAGCTCAGAGCTAATCTTCCAAAAATAAATAAATAAACTTTCCCGGTCATGACTGTGACGAGGGGCCCTTCCCCAGAAAAACGCAAACTGCATATGCTCAGGGTTTTAGGTTCAGGGCTGGCTTCACGGGTTGTAATCTGCAGTCCCACAAGGTCCCGTGTTCATAAAAGCCCTATGCTTGGTTTAGTGCTCTGCTGCTGCTGTCTTGTAAGTCTTAATATTTGAACAAGGGGCCCTACATGTTCATGTTTAACGGGCCCCACAAATTATGTAACCTGTCATGTTTGTTTACAATTAGTCAGATAAGAGAAGGAGATGTTCGGACTCTGCTCAAGGCGCCTGTCCTATTTATGTAGAGCCCTTCCCAGCCCATCACGTATCTGTCCCCTTTCATTCCATCGTCACCCCTAGACCCAACCTTCCATTTGCTTCCAGCTTGGTTTTCCCGGAGTCAGCTGGGCGGCGGCAATGGCCAAAATGGATGGGGAAGACTTGCCTGGAAGGGAAGAGGACTTTGGCCAATGAGGTGCTTACCTGGGACCCCCAACTTCTCTCCTCCACTGATGGATGCACGAAAGCCTCCAGAGGACTCATCTAGTCTCCATTGCAGATGGCCTCCTGGCCCCATGGAGGAGCCCGAGTCTGTGAAGATGGTGTAAGCAGGTGCACGGGGAGAAGCTGGCCAACTGAATTCAGAGGAGGTCCTGGGGCAGGGCTGGAATGGAGGCTGTGGGTCCGTATTAAAGAAATGAGGGGATGCCTGTGCTCAGGAGACCCCTGACAAACCTGCTGGGCCTGAGCAAGTCCATTTGTTCAAGAAGCTGTGGGGCCCGGCTGTGTCCCCGATGCTCTGTGGGAACCCCTGACTCTTTCCCATGTCTTCAAAGGGCTGGGGGATCTTGCTGTGAACTTCCCTTCTCTAGTTTCAAACTCCTTGATGAGGCTTCAGGTTGATTTTGATAACAAATATTCATTATACAGGTATCTACAGTGTCTACCACATGCCTGGTTATGATAAGAATAGCTCCCGTTTAATGAGCACTTACTGTGTCCCAGGCACTTTTCTACATGCTTTACACACGTCGTCATTTTTAACCCTCACAAGAATTCCAGGAGGTAGGGGCTTTGGTTATCCCTGTTTTATAGATGGGGAAAATGCGACGCAGAGCAGTCAAGTAACTTGCTCAGGGTCACGTTGGTGGTGTTAGGATTTGAACCTAGGCCCTGGGACTCCAGAGCCCAGCCTGATGCACTGGGCCAGTTCTCCAGGTTGGAGTGTTGGGGAACATAAGGGGAGCGCAAAGTCTGACCTTTGAAGAAGTCCCTTGTCCTTGCCCCCACTGGTTACTCAGAGGCAGCAGGGTTGATGGGCTGGAGAAGGGGACGGGTCCCGGGTATTGCCTGGGTATCGTCTTTGTCTTCTCTTTCTCACCCCACATCCCACCAGCCCCTACGAGGCTTTTAAAATGTCCACAGGTGAGAGAATGGAGCCTGAATTATTATCTCCTGGCCTTTGGTCTCCCCAGCTCTGCTTTTTCTGCCCTGTTAGGACCATCCATCCAAAGCACAAATTAGAACATATTTCTCCCCCTGCTTAAAGCCCTCTATGGCTCCCTATTGTCCCAATGCTAAAGTCAGAGTTCTTTGTGTGGTCTAGAGAACCACCCTTTGGGATCCGAGCCCCACTGAATTTGCTGCATGAGGTTTGTGTTCTTACCAACAAGGCTGCGGTGAATACCCTTGAACTTAGATCTTTGTACACAAGTGTCCTTCCATCTGGAGGATAAGTTCTGAAAGGAGAAAATGTTGACTGTAAGGTCTGCGCTTTTGTATATTGGAGGTATTGCCAAGTTGCCCCCACTGTACACCCCCTAAAACACACGCACACCCACGCACTCCTTTCTCCACGCGTGCTTTGCTCTGGCTGATGAGCTTTTGTCGGGGCTGTGTTTTCCCGGGAGCCTTCCCGGCATAGAGTAGATGCTTTGGTAACCAGCCCCGCTTGCTACTGGAGCTCCTCCTGGCCTTTGTCTGGCATTTTCTCCACCTGCCTGCCCCATGGAGTCCTGTGCACAGCTAGTCGGCCACTGCCCCCTGTGCTGTCGGGCTCTGGAGGACTGTCCCCCTCTGTGCTGACCTAGAAAAGTGAAGCGCACCCCGGAACCCCCCCCCCAACCACCTGCAGCCACTCTGGGGAAGCCAGAGGACCTCCCGGGGGAGCTCAGACCCAGGGGAGAGTGGGCACGGCGAGGCTCTGCACCCCAGGCTCTGCAGGGAGGATGTCTGGCCATGCTCCTGGGAGAACTGGTGGCAGAAGGCAAGGGGGCAGCTCCTTGGGGCCCTTGGCCGGTAAGTGGCTCTGGACGGTAGCTGGTGGGGAAGTGTGGGGAGACGCCTTCCTGCTCTGGGTGGGCCTCTGAGGATGTGGACTGGGGCCGCCTTTTTGGCATCTTGTCCTGCTAAGCAGGAGACGTGTGTGTGTGTCTGGTAAACACACCCTGTGATCCTCCAGTGGTAGGCTCCCTGAGAGATATCATCCCCGTTATAGCAGCCATGGCTGAGTGCCTGTTTCTGTGTGCCTGCCCCAGCACCAAGCGCTTCCCACACATTATCTTCCTTGAGCCCTGCAACAATCCTGTGAGGTAGGTCATAGTTCCATTTTCAGATGAGGAAACTGAGGGTCAGAGAGGTTAAGTAACTTGCCCAAAGTCACACAGCCTGGAAGTGGCTCAATTTTCTGACGTATTTCTCTCGCTCTTTTTTTTTTTTTTTTTTTTGAGGAAGATTAGCGCTGAGCTAACTACTGCCAATCCTCCTCTTTTTGCTGAGGAAGACTGGCCCTGAGCTAACATCCGTGCCCATCTTCCTCTACTTTATATGTGGGACACCTACCACAGCATGGCTTGGCAAGTGGTGCCATGTCCGCACCCGGGATCCCAACCAGTGAACCCTGGGCCGCGGAAGCGGAATATTCAAACTTAACTGCTGCGCCACTGGGCTGGCCCCTTAACTGACAAGTGTTTCTCAATATCCACAGTAATACCCCTGGCTCTTCCTGGACTAGAGCGATGCAGCTTAAGGTTACGCTGTTGGTGCCTGTAGGAAACACGAGTAAACTCAGAACAATAAGTGCACGTGGCTCCCCAGCCTCAGGAGCTCAGGGAGGCTGGGAGGACAGTCACTGGGGTACGATGGGGGAGTTGCAGGGGCCATCTGACAGTCTTGGACCCCTTGTCATGACACATCTTCCAGGAAGGGCTGTATTTTCCACCCCTGAACCCTGGAATCCCAAGGGCAAGCCCCTCACCCTCTCACCACCATCCCTGTGAGCCTCAGTGTCATCATCTGCAAAATGGGGCCCATCCCTCTGCCTTAGTTTCCTGTGGCTGCCCCAACAGAGTTTCACAAACTGGGTGGGTTAGAACAACAGAAATTCATTGTCTCCCAGTTCTGGAGCCCCGAAGTCCAAAATCAAGGTGCCGGCAGAGCCGAGCTCCCTCTGAACCTGCAGGCGACGAAGCCTGCCTTGCCTCTTCCAGCTTCTGGCAGCTCCAGACGGTCCCTGGCTGTGGCCGCTTCACTCCAGTCTCTGCCTCCATCTTCACGCGGCTTCTGCCTGTGTCTTCACCTCGTCTTCCCTCTGTGCGTGTCTGCCTCTGGGTCCAAATTTCCCCTTTTATAAGGACACCAGTCATTAGATTAGGGCCCACCCTAATGACTGCATGTTAACTTGACTACCTCTGTTGAGATCGTATTTCAAAATAGGGGCATATTCTGAGGCCCTGGGGGTTAGGACGTCTGTGTACATTTGGGGTAGTTCAACCCCTAACGCCTTCCTTGTTAGGACTGAATGTGGTAATGCACGTAAAGCTCTGAGCATTGTGCTTGGCTGGCACTCGATAAAATCTCCATAAACTGCTGCCAAAAGAAAAAGTCGAGCACCTGGAATAAGGTGCTTGGTGTCCATTATGTGCCAGGCACAGTTTGGTTGCTCAGCATATACGATCCCATATCCCACTGAATCCTCACAACCACCCCTCGAGACAGGCAAGATTTTCATTTAAAGGATGAGGAAGCTCTGACTCAGAGAGGTTAAGGCACTCGCCTGCAGACACACAGCTTAAGTGGCAGAGCTGAGGCTCACCCCATGCCTCTGAGGCTCCACTACCTCATGCTGGGTTGGACAGTGCTACAGTGGGCAGTGGGAGCTGCTTGGAGGGCTAGACAGGCAGGGAGGAAATGCTGAGCACACAGCACACAGCACACAGCCCTGGGGAGCTTTCTGAACCCGAGGGGCATAAATGCGTCTCAGAGATTGTGAGAGGGTGGGCTGGATCACTGGCTGCCAGGGGGCAGGGCCATCAGGTCTGAGTCACTCCACTGTGACCTAACCGGCCTGGCCGATACTGCAGGGCTGGGACAGGGCCCAGCGGGGCCGAGGAATGTTGCCCTGAGCTCGGGCACCCTTCACTTCATTCTGAGTACACACGGCTCTCCAGGAAGCCGAGAAGTGGTGCTTCCTTAAGGAAGCTTGAAAGTGCCGCCTGCTCAAGATTCAGGCTACTCTCTCCCTCCTTGCTTTCTTCCCAGGGCTTCCCTGCACCTAGGGGAGGTGACAACAAATTAGGTTTTCTGTTCTGGACTAGAAGTTTATTTACTCAGGTGCTAGCTTGTTTACTCACCGGAGCATGGCATTTATTCATTCACTCATTGACTTATCCACCCATTCACTCATGGCTCACTGATTCATTCATTCATTCACTCACTCATGCTCTCGCACATTCAGGTACACAGCCATTCACTATTCCACGTATCCATCCATCCATCTATCCATCCATCCATCCATCCATCCATCCATCCATCCTTTATTAAGCACCTACCGTGTTGCCCACACAAAGCTCCTTATGACTGTCAATGTGCTTTTTCACCCACTTTCGCTGCTGGTTCAGCTTACGTATTGGGAGGGAGGATCTGTGCACTGATGGGACCCCGGCTCTCAGCCTTCTGGTGGCATGGTTCCAGACATGGCTTGGGAAAAGTGGGCCCTTGGTTCTCTGCACAGCCTAGTCTGCACATGGGAGCCAGTGACGGCCAGGGACTTGGGGCTCCTGAGGACCCTTTGTCCTGTGATCTCCTCCCTATCTGTTGATGCTGGGCCGTGCATCGTCCTGGGCACTGTGGCTCCAGTGGGGCAATACTTCCAGGTATTAGGCTTCATTTCTTGCTTCCCCAAGGCCAGGGCAGACCATGGTGACCCATGGACTTGGGCCTCTCCTCCTGGGGCTGCTCTTCTTAGTGTGAAGGCAAATCCGCTGCCCGGGAGTGTCACTGACACCCAGAGTTCTAGAGGCAGGCAGGGTGGGCCAGGCCAAGCTGGGGATGACCATGGCCTTCTGTCCTGGCCAGAGAGCAAGAGGAGGGACTCCTGGTGCGTAACGGATATGGGGAGTGAGAAGCAAGCCAGGGAAGCTGGCAGGAATGTCCCTTACTTGTCCCTAAATGCCCCACTTCTACATCTTTGCATATGCTGAGCTCCGACTTCCTCACATTCCAGGCAAAATGTCAATTCCCAGGGAGGCCCTTCTGGACCCCAACATTCGGCCACTCCTGTTTACTTAGCATCCTCCCTTAGCATCCCCCTTTCCCCTACCCCAAGCCCTGCCCTGTAACACGCTCAACACACTCCTGTTTGCCTGCTTTCTTGTTTCCTGGCAAATGTCATCATCCTCGGTTCACAGAGGAGGAACCCAAGGCTCAGAGAAGGCAAGTGACCTGCTCAAAGGCACAGAGGGAGTGGCCAGGCCAGGGTGAAGACCTCTGGGTCATGGCTGCTTTTTTCTACCCACATTAGCCCTATACTTTATTGATTCAGTTTTATTTAAAATCAGATAGCTGTAGGTAGTGACAACAACAGTAGGAGTAGTATCTCATGACGTTTTTAAAGGCGCCGTTCCCATTTCACGGCACTGCAGGCAGGTGGGCAGGGCTCGTGTGTGTGTGTGTGTGTGTGTGTGTGTGTGTGTGTGTTTGTGTGTCTGCCTGCAGGTGGCCCTGGCTGAGCCAACCCCACGCAGGAGGGGGTTGGACATTTGTCCCGGCGTGGGAGTGTCTGGGACTTGGGTGTGCCCCAGAGGCCCTGTAGCCTTCCTCCTGTGCTCATTGCCGCTTGAATCAGCCCCACGGCCGCAGCAGCGAGGCAGCTGACCCAGGAACCACGAAGGTGCCAGCCCATGGCAGAGCCTGCCCTTCTCCCCACCGCCCAGATGGAGCGGCTGGCCCCGTTCTCCCTGGCCTCACCGTGTCCTCGGATCCCACGGGCCCGCATCGCCAGGCGGCCAGGGCACTGTGCCCGGCGCTGGGTGGACCTGGGCTGCAGGTACAGACATCACGGTGGGGCAGGGAGGGAGGGTGTCCTTTGGCCTCTGGTGTCTCAGGGCCAGGCCTGAGGGGTGAGGAGACCAAGGCAAGGACCTACTATGTGCCAGGGGTGCATGTCATCAGTCCTCACAACATCCCTGTGAGGCAGGAACTCCCCTCGCATCCTTCAGATAAGGAAGCAGAAGCTCTGTGAGGTCAGTAAATGGCCCAAGGTTACTGGCTGCCAAGTGGGGGGGGTGCGTATTTCAAACCCTGGTGCCTGGACCCCAAACCTAGGCCCTTCCTGGGACACACACTGCCCTGGGCTCCTGCTGCTGTCCCCCTGCAGGGTCACTCATTTTTCGATTCTTAGAGACGTAAGTGACCCCCAGTATGTGCCATTTCCCCTTCCTCTGGATGTAGAGATTATTAGGGACCCCAGGGGTTATTTGGGGCTCCAGATTCAGGACCTTAAGCTTTGGAGTCTCAGCTGGCTCGATGTGAACGTGTGCTCACCTCGGCTGAGAACTCTCACCCCTCCTCCCTACTCAGTCTGCCTCTGACAGGCCAGAATTTTTAAAAAGTCATTTTTCCCCAACTATGATTACAGCATATTACGATATGATTATTATAAAAATTCAAACAGTTCAGAAGTTTGTATGCCTATTTCCAGAATCTACTACTGTGAAAATTTTGGCATATACCTTGGGAGAACATTTTTATAGGATACCACTACCGTGTGCTTCTAGGCTTCCTTTTATCCCTTAATTAGCATTATGGACATCTTTACATGTCGGTAACAAAGCGATCTGACTCATTCATTTTAATGGCGTCCCAGAATCCAACTTTATAGGATGTTCTTTGGTTAATTTTGAGCAGTCTCTGGCTAATGGACATTTAGCTTGGTTCTAATTTTTTAAAGTTATTTTATTGAGGTCACATTGGTGTATAATGTTGTATAAATTTCAGGTGCATATTATTACATTTCGGCTTCTGTTTAGGCTGCATACTGTTCACCACCGAGAGTCTAGTTTCCATCTGTCACCATACATATGTGCCCCTTTACCCCTTTCGCCCTCCCCCTCTGGTAACTATCAATCTGTTCTCCTTATCTATGTGTTTGTTTATCTTCCACAGATGAGTGAAGTCATACTGTATTTGTCTTTGTCTGACTTATTTCACTTAGCATAATAGCCTCCAGGTCTATCCATGTAGTTGCAAATGGCACAATTTCGTCTTTTTTATGGCTCAGTAGTATTCCATTGCATATATATACACCACATCTTCTTTTTAACCCTTTTAAGCAATAGTGCAATGGACATCTTTGGGGATTTGTGTGGGTAATACTCATTCCTGAAAGCATAATTGCAGGTTTGAAAGGAATAATTAGAATCTTGACGATCTTGCCCAGTTACGCTCCAAGAAGGTTGTAGCTCAGAACACGCCTGCAGCAGGGGACCCCGTTGCCTTGCTCATTTCCACCCTAGGACCTGAAGGTTGACTGTGGCCTGACTGTGGAGAGTGGAGCCAGGGAATGGGGGGACCTGATCCTAGAACAACTGAGCCCACAGAATTCCTAGATGCGGGAACACCTTCCAGGCTCAGAGAAGAGGCAGAGAGCTCAGGGAGATCATTTCATTCATTCAGCGTGTTCACTGAGCTCCTGTGCGTGGGGGCCTCTGTCCTATCCGGGGAGAAAATTACTCAGGACGTGATTTTATTGCAAATCCATCTTAATAAGCCAAAGACGTGCCTGTTTGCATATCTGTCAATCCAGCTATCCATCCTTCCATCCATCCATCCATCCATCCATCTGTTATCTCTCTCTCTCCCTCTCTAGCCTGTATTAGTTTCCTATTGCTGCTGTAACAAATCACCACAAGCTTACTGGCTTAAAACAACACAAATTTATCGTCTTATGGTTCTGGAAGTCAGAAATCCTAAAAACCAGGGCTGTGCTCCTCCTGGAGGCTGTAGGGGAGGACCTGTCTCCTTTCCTCTTCCAGCTTCTAGAGGCCGCCTGCATCCCTGGCTCATGGCCCTCTTCCGTCTTCACAGCCAGCAGTGTAACATCTTCCAATTTCTCTGACTCTGACCTCCACTTCTGTCATACCTCCTTTTCTGACTCCAATCCTCATGCCTCCCTCTTTCACTTATAAGGACGCTTGTGGTTACGTTGGGCTCACCCTGACAATCCAGGAGACTCTTCGCATCTCAAGATCCTTAACTTAATCACGTCTGCAGAGCCCCTTTTGTCATGTAAGCTGACATATTCACAGGTTCTGGAGATTAGGAAGTGGACATCTTTGGGGGGCTATTATTCAACGTATCACACTATCATCTATCTATCTATCTATCTATCTATCTACCTATCTATCTATCTATCATCTATCATCTCTCTCTCTCCCTTTTTCTCCATCTCTCTCTGTCTCTAATTATCCATTCATCCATCTCTCTATCTACCCACCTACCTATCTGTCGCAGCTGTTCTCCGACCACCCGAGGCCTTCCCTTAATCTCTTGGTTCCTTGTGATCCCTGAGGCTATTAGTATTGAATTCACTATAAGAGTGCCTGACTCATTGGATGTGCTCAATACTTAATGGTTGAATAAACAAATGAATTTTGTTGCATTCCTTTTGTTACTTAAAACAACACTCTTACTTCTGGGGCCTGGCGGGGGGTGGGGGGGGTGGGGGGGTGGGGGGGGGAGGGTGTAGTGGTTAACCCCGGCTTCCCAGGGTTCATCAGTTCAGATCCCAGGCATGGACCTAGCACTGCTCATCAAGCCATGCTATAGCGGCATCCCACATAAAATAGAGGAGGATTGGCACAGATGTTAGCTCAGGCCAATCTTCCTCTACACACACACACACACACAACCAAAAAAACCCCCAAATCCAGCACTCTTACGTCTAAAACAGTGGTTTTTCAAACTCCAGAATTCTGTAAAAGTTTTATTTGAATTTAATTTTTATTCTATTTTTTAAATATCAAAAAACTAGTAAAAAACACCTCACACACTTCTGTGGTATATCCCAAATATTTTTTGTCTCTATCAAAATGATATAGATTGTATGATCTGTAAACACTTTAAATTGAACTTATAAAATGAGTTTACAATAATATCATTGTTCTCTCTTTTGTTCATTGAGAGGAGATTCCACTATCAAAAAAATGTGCAAACCACTTCCCTGGGGCAGGGCTGGTCTGTCCTCCCCAGGCCAATGCTCCTGTGGATGGTTCACACTGATACGGGCTCCGGCTCGGTGAGTCAAGGAGTCAAAAGAAAGATTTCTTGGACTCTCAAGGTCTGACAGTAGTGCTTTTTTTATTCAGAGAATAGCATGGGAACAGGACCCACGGGCAGTGAAGAGCTGCAATGTGCTGAGGGCTAGAGCTAAATTTATAAGGCACAGGTATGTGAGTTATTTCTTTACAAGACAAAGGAAAGATCATGAAAAAAAATCATTAAAATGTTATCAGTGCAGGTGGGGTCTGGTTATTGGGTGGTCCTATAACTTTAGATAAGAATCAGATCAGATTAAGTCAGGACGTCCTATGCTTCCGGAGATCGGTATGTAGGGCAGGACGCCTGGGGCTTCTCCCTGAGGCAGCCTTGATCCTCATCAACACGGTCACTATGTCAGTTCTTCCATCCCTCTGAGTTCATTCGTCTCACTGGTCACTCGCTCGTGAGTCATTTATTTATTCAATAAATTCCAGGGAGATGGTAAGCTCTCAGATGCCAGGCTGGGTCTGTTCTGTTCACCCTGTATCTCCAGCACCCAGGGCAGGGCTGGCCCGTTGTAGGTGCTCATGAAATGTTTGCTGGATGAATGACACGCTCACTGCTTCTGTGTGAAGTCCCACGATGGGCATGGGGTATGAGGATGAGTAAGATGCTCTCTCAGCCCTTAGGATGTCCACAGCCTCGTGCAGGAGGAAGATATAAGACTGGTCCGCTACAATATGATGCACTAAATGCTGATGGGAAAGGTCTGAGCAACGGCGACTGGAGTCAGTGTTGTCATCACAGAACCTCCTGTAAAGTGAATGGGACTAGAGTTTGCTCTCTGTGTGGACTGAGTCTTAGAATCCTGCAGTGTTAGCTTGGGAGGAGCCTTAATGACCCAGCGCTAGCAAGACAACTCTGTTAGGATTCCCTCCATCCTCGCTCCCAAATAGGCGTGTATTTTCTGTGAATTCACGATTGCTGTGAAATGCAAAAACCAGCAAGTGAAATCCCCTTCCCCCTCCCCCCTCCAACCCACTAGAATAGTAACTGTGAGCAGTTCAGTGTCAATCCTGTAAGATTTTATGCTTCATAAACATATTTACATACATGGAAAACATCTATGACCTAGGCTATGTATGTGATTATATTTATATACGCAAATTGGATTATACTACCTGTAGTAGTGTGAAACAACCTCTCCCACTTGGTAATATTTTTTCATGGAAATAGAGATCTACGTTGTTCCCTTTAAACGCTGCTTGATATTTCGTTTTATGACTGAACTGTCCTTTCGTTAACTAGCCTCCTCTGATGGACTTTTAGACTGTTTCTTTCTCTTCTCCTTTCTGTTTGTTATTATAAACTACGCTGCATTGTCTTAGGTATATATCTTTGTTCACTTATGATAAAGTCCCAGAATAGGAATCACTGAGTCCAAAGGTATAGACATTTAAAACTTTGAAACATATTGCCAAGTGGTTTCCCAGGAGGGTTGTACAGACTCACTAAGAGGCTACCAGCCTTTGTTTCTTTATGTTCTTGACATTCTTAACTGGACATTATTGCTCTTTTTAGTCTTTGCTAATTGTATCTTGTTTTAACTCACTTTCTTTTATTATTGGTGCAATTGAGCATCTTTTCACAGGCTGAGAGTCTGATAGATCAGAGGCAAGAAGACTCATTTCGAGTCTAGAGCAGCAGTCAGATTCCCTTAATCAACAGTGGGTTAAGGGACTTGACCAATTGCACACAGGTATTTTGCAGAATAACTCACTTTTACAA